AACCAGACATGCATTTAAATTCATATGTTAAAATTTGTATTAAAGATTTCAATTATGTATAAAATTTATGTTAAAATTTTACTAATATTAATCAAATGGGTCACTTTTTAAAAATTCATAGACTAAAACGAATGTTTTGAAAGTATAATGAAACAAAATGAACAGTTTATGAAAGAATAGAGACTAAAATGAACAAATGTAAGAATCAAAATAGTATATAAAATTAATTTGATCAAAAAACACTTTTGGCCCCTATACTTTTGGTAAAGTAACGATTTAGTCCTTAAACTTTAGTTTGTAGCGATTTTGTCCATGTACTTTCAAATTTATAACATTTTAATCCTTGAACTTTAATATATAATAATTTAGTCATTGTAATTTAAAGTTTGTAACGATTTAGTCATTATCGTAATTTTTTGTTTGTTTGCTAATTTTTATATAAATTGATAAACCAAGGAGGGACTAAACATGTTTACAAATTATAAATATTAAATTGTTATAGGACAAAACTTTACACTTAATTTTAATAAGATTTTTGAACTACATAGACTAAATTGTTCCAAACTAAATTAAGTTTATGGACTAAACCGTCACTTCAATGAATATACAAAGACCAAATGTGTTTTTTAACCCACTAATTTCTAATATAAATATTTAAATTTAACATAGAATACTAATATCAATAGCAGATAAATGATATCGAAAAAGTTCAAACTCAAGCCTTTATGAATCAAATAAATTATCTCTAAACTCAAAATTAAAGAGTTAAAGCCGATAAAATAGGGCATGTCTACTTTCTTTATATATATATAAAATAATTATCAAACAAAAGTTAATAAATAATAATTTTAAAAAGGGAATCAAATTAAAAAGAGTGACCTTGGAAACTATAAAAACTCGAAATTTGTGAATGAATGGCCCAAATTGGTCCTTAGCATCAAGAACCACAGCTTTGTAGCTGAATTTTGAGATCCCTTTTTCACCCAAAATGACACTAATCCGCCGCCCTTCATCAAGTTTCTTCGAATCTCCCATCTCTTTTTTTTCTGCAATTCGCGAAAAAAAATCAAAATAAAAATCAATTGAAAAGGAAAAAAAATAAAGTTTAAATATTATTTTGATATTTGTATTTGTACTTTTTTTTTTTAATTTGGATTCTCATACTTTCAAACCATGTATTTTAATCTGTGTAATTTCAACTTTTGTTTATTTTAATCGATGTATTATCAAAACATCAATTTTGGGTCTTTTTATTTTTTAAAAGTTACCATTTTGGTTCTTTTCAATCTTTTTTTATATGTGAGAGTTAGAGCCAACTTGTGTATATCTCGATTAATTTCACGGAATAACTATTTATCCCTACTACGTTTGGTCTATTTTATTTTTATTTTTTGAATATTTCTTTTGATTATAATCTTAATATGACACTTCACGTACCTATTAGGGTCCTTCAAATATAGCCATAAATTTGTATTAAAGATTTAAGTAGTGATTAAAATGACCCTTATTAAACCAGATGACCAAAACAAACGTCTTGAAAATGCGACCCAAGCAAATATAAGAGGGAGAAAAGTAGTATTAAAAAAAAAAAAAGAATAACAACACTGCGTGAAATTGAAATAACAAAAATTAAGTATAATACAAGGAACGTTACATGATTGAAATATCAACTTCAACAAAGTCGATGTAGGTGGTCGGAGAGTCGGAAACTGCCGCATCCTGGCCGGAGAGAGGTTGAGGGAGGAGGAGCTCCGCCGTCAAGGCCTTCGGCCGGCGAAGAACTTGTCCCTCAGGCCATGAAGGAACTCTCTATTATTCACCATTTCTCTCTCTCTCTCTCTTTTCTTTGTAAAGTTTTGTTCTCTCAAAGTTTCTTTGTTCCTTCTTTGGTATCATTCAATTTGGAAAAAAGCCCTTATTCTTCAATTATTTTCCATGGGATATTTTATTACCACTTTTTAAATCCAATTGATTAAATTATAAATTTAGTCTTCAAAGTTTGAGCGTGTGTCCTTAGATAGATATTAAATTGCTATCGATATGTCAAACACTTCCATCGACATTTCTATACGTTGATGGTTTCAACATTGACATTAATGGATTACCCAAAATGGTAAAATATTTATTATGAATATTTTATTTTTATACTTTTCTAGAAACATCTATCGACATTGACATTTTATTGATATTTTCATCGACATATAAAACCTTGATTTAATCATTAGATTTAAAATATATATATATATAATAACGTTTCTAAATTTTAGATTATGTTTTTATTTAGTCGTCCTTAAATAACGGTAAGATGTAGTTGACTATAGCTAATGATATGATATATTAACATTAGATAAATTTTGGTTTTGTTCTATGTTAGTTAAACTTGACATTAAACATGTAGGCTAAATGCACTAAGACATTAGGACAATAAGACCATTAGAACTCTTTGGTAGATGTGTAAGCAATTTGGTTTAATTAATTTGGATTTCAATTTAATTATAAGAAAAATTGAAAACCAAAATCAGATACTAAAATTGTTTTGAAACGTGAAGTGAACTAAATTAGGTCAACTATACGAAAATTATCCCAACCAAACCGACCGATTATTTTCAATTTCTTTTTTAAATTATCGCCTTCAACTTGAATTTGATCTCTTTTTATCTCTCTCTTCTTCTTCTAAGGAGGGCATTATGGTAGTTTTGCAAAAAAAATTAGGGCTACTATATATATATATATATATATATATAAATTTAGGTGGTCCAAAATGAAACTTGTTAAAAAAAATCTAAAGGCTACTTTATTAATTATTTATAATATGATTTCAGCTTGATGGAGAGAGTGCATCACATAAATTTATATTAAAAATTGAATCACACTGATTTTTTTGTTTTTTTTTTCATTTTTGAGTTACCTCGTAGGTGTTATTTGCACCGTTGAACTATATAATTAATTTTAAATTTATTAATTAAATTTACTATTGGTTGAATTAAATTTTTTAAATAAATATTTAATGAATTTCTATAATATGTGATATGCATTTAAAGAGAGAGAAATTGTCATTGTATTTTTCTTATTTAGGAGAGACCATATCTTTGAAGGCATGAAAGATTTCATTAGATAAAATAAATAAATGAATAAAAGGTTCACGATTTTATGTGATGGTTGCATTTGGAAAAGAGAGGTCCAAAATTCAATTATTTAGAAGATATTTTCTTTTTAGTACAATAATTTAGAAGATTCGATACAATTATTAAAAGACGATAAAACATAACTTATTATATATCTTCAATCTTTTTTAGGGCATTATTATTTATTTGGGTGGGAAAGGGATGGGATGCCAATTTCGACAGTAACATATTTTTTTTTTCTTATTTTTCGTTTTTTTTCTTTTCAAATAAAAATAGAATTGTGTTAGTAATTATTTGTTGTTCTTTTTTTTTTAATAGATTTGGTAATAAAATATTGTTTCTCATCCTCTAACATTTTAAATTAAAAGGATAAATTTTTATATTAAATTTAATTTTTTAAATCAAACATTCAAAATTTATATTTATATTTATATTTTTAATATTTATGATGTATTTTATAAGTTAAGAACGATAAAATAATGCTTTTATTTATATTTAAAAAATATTGGAAATGAAAATTAGAAACAAAAAAATAAGTAAAAAATAATTTATTATTTCTAAAATTTCTGCCCACTTAAAAAAAATTTCCTTAATAATGAAAAAGGAGGAACATGAACAATTACTAAACATTTTTAAGAAATTAGAAATAAAAAATAAAGAAATTAAAAAATGACAACCAAGAGCCCCGTGTCACAATCACACTTTAACGAGACTCAGGAAGCGATTGTGTGGCACTTGCTTTCACCCTCTAGCAAGTCAGCCAATGCAGAAACGAATAGCCGGTGGCACAAAGGCTATATGTCGCAACCTCTACCCCGTTCTCGAGAAAACGATTTTGGAAAACGGGGTTAGAGAAAAAGGTTTTGGAAAACGTTTGTAAGCATTTTGGAAGTTGTTGTAAGCTTGAATGCAAGAGAATAGATTAGCGGCAAGACAAGAATACAACGCAATGTAGGGAGGAGACTAGCCTCCCCCTGGGCCCTGTTGCCTAAGTGAGCTACTCCATGGCACATGCGTGTGTCATGGCGTGGGCGAGCGTTGCAAGACCAAGGTCTTGGGCGTCTTCCTTCGAGAATGGGAATCTCAAGGACAGTGTCGGACGGCACGAGTGTGCCGGCATTGCTCCTCGTCCCATGGGCTGGAGGTTGCACATAGGGGCC